CCACCAGATCTCCGATTTAGGGAAACCAATGGCTATACATTCTAATTCGTAGACCTTGTTTATTTCATAGAATTCTACGGTATTCATCATTTTAATAGCAGGGGAACCGCTCACTAATAACTGCATTGTTATGTTTGTCGACATATCACTCGTGTTTCCCAACTATAACCAAACATTATCAACATTTTATTTTATATAAATACTTAAAATTAATTGTAACATGCTATTAATTATCAAACAACTGACCAGCATATAAGTGCCACTGTCCTCGAGTTCAATACTCTTGATCTCTAAATATGTTTGTGGAAACTGACCGTCAGTTTTAACACCTGTCACGAGATGTTTGTGATTCTTCTCGATTTGAATATCATTTTTAAACCAAAATAGTTGTACGGATTCAAAGTCTGGGAATGACTGGACGTCCACTACAAATCTGACCATTTCTCCCACTCTACTGATGAGTGGCTTTTCATTATTAATATCCATTGAAAAGTTTACATATGACGGGGGTAGACCATTCTCTGGGAATACATTTCATATAACTATTAAAGGGCTTACTTATTATTCCATGGTACAAAGTAATTCTACATGTATTTTACTTTGTAAAACTAATTCCGGTATTAATTACTGATAAAAATAAGACAAATACCGTAAACCGTGACTTTCTTGGAAGCACTGAATACTCTTCCGTTGCCATCCGTGACATTGCAGTGATATATGCCTTCTTCCTCCATCTGTGCACCAGTTATGGTCAGATTCCGAGACACCGTATCATAACTATTACCATTCAATTCAATTCTCTGAGTTTCAGCCATCGATTCCACAGATCTTTCTAAAGTCTAATCATTTGAATATCGTTTAGTAGACATTAATTAATAATTTATAAATAGAGAACAAATGTCATACATTTTTATTAGGGACGTCCCACGTAATCACGATTATAACTCCGAGTTCAATGTGAACAAAACATTTTAATGTGAAGGTGCTGTTTATGAACACATTTTTAGCTCTACTGTCATCGATAAGAGGATGCAATTCCACCGGTAATACTATTATCCAATTAATAAAAAAAATTTCATTATTTATTCTATTAACTAGAATCCGTATTATCCTACATTGTTTATTTTGTATTACTACTCTAAACTAGTACAGTATACTCTATTGCATATTTAATACTATGCCTTTAGTTTAGTTTATTCTGTAAGTTTTAACCCACATCTTTAAAGGTCAGATTTGCATAATATATTATATTTGTATATACTGTATATTTATTTAAATTAATGTAAATTATCAGAGTTTATAGAAAAAACAAAAATATAGAATTTAATTTTATTTAAAAATAATTTCCAATATTTCTCAAATATTTCTCTAATTATGGAAAGTTTGAAATTAAATTATTGTTCTTATTGTAGATATAATTAAATTATAGATTCAACTAATTCGACGTTATTGTCAATAGTGTAGATAAAAATTAAATTAAAAGACATGTTGAAAATATTTATATGAACGAGATAATTAGGATCAAGGACTCACTCGACCAATGAATGCTTATGGATGATATCATTTCGGTGTTGTCTAACTCCACTTTACACTCCAGAAGACTGGTCTCCCCGTCCCAACGCGGATATTCAAAGTGATAGCCTTTCTTCGAGTTATAGGTGATTCCCAGAGTATTATTGACAACAATCTCTTGTGGACCAGAGTTGGTGTGCACTTTCCACAGCGAGACCTTAGCTCGGGAATCGGTAGCGGGTATTCAAAGTGATAGCCTTTCTTCGAGTTATAGGTGATTCCCAGAGTATTATTGACAACAATCTCTTGTGGACCAGAGTTGGTGTGCACTTTCCACAGCGAGACCTTAGCTCGGGAATCGGTAGGTTTGCAGGGAATGGTAGCCGGTTGGGACTGGAATACTGCGATGAACATGAAGTCATAGTTTCCCTCATAGGGAACAATCAGATATTCCGGATCTGTGTTTAAACAATGGATTTACTATAAGAGTTATAANGTTTGCAGGGAATGGTAGCCGGTTGGGACTGGAATACTGCGATGAACATGAAGTCATAGTTTCCCTCATAGGGAACAATCAGATATTCCGGATCTGTGTTTAAACAATGGATTTACTATAAGAGTTATAAAGTAGTGAACACTACTTGCCGTTCACGAAGACATAGATTGTGTCCGACTTGTCACCAATGGACGAGTCGTTGTACTGACACGTGAAAT